TAAGAAAACAAAAAAAAAACGCAAAAAAGCCAAAATTTGTGTTTCTTTTCTGCCCTTAACCTTGGCTTCTAATGGGGCATCCAAACTGGGCAGCGTCATCAAGTTCAAGGGAATTGACCACAACAAAACAAAAATTCATAACAATTACAAAATTTACGTCTGCCTTCACGCGGAGATTCCCATTTAGTTAAAACAATTGAGCTAATGGCTGCCATATACCCATATACCACGCACTAACCGACCTTCGAGTAAAAGTTTTCCACTTAAGCGATTCATTAAAGCAATTTAACAATAATTCTCTGGACTCGAAAGCCTGCGGTGGGGCTCAGTTCAAAGTTGGCGCTGCTTATAAAAAGCAAGGTTGCTGGTTCTAACTCTTTTAAGCGGGGCATGAGTTTTCGCTTAATAGAAAATAATATTTGATTACTAATTGTAACAAGTAATAATAAAAACAAAATTAATATTAATAGATATTATAATAATAATACATAAACTGATATTAATGATAATAATAATAATAATAATAAAATCAATTTTATTAATAATAGAAATAATAATTATAACAATAATAATAATAATAATAATAATAATAATAATAATAATAATACTAATAATAATAATAATAATAATAATAATAATAATAATAATAATAATAATAATAATAAACTAATAATACAACTAATATTTATTAATGTTCGATAAATCGATAAAAGTTTTCAAAGAAAATTAACTTATTAAATAATGCAATTATAATTAATTTATCTAAATAATTTATGACAAATAAGTAAACTTCGTAAAATCAAAAGCTATAAAGAAAAAACTCTATGAATTTATATGTGTGATCAGAAATGCAAAACTATTTACAAACTCGCATAGTAGACATTCAAACGAGTCATTTAATTTGCACTTCCTATGTAAATAATTGAGTTATTTTGAATACACACACAGAATTGGCAGTGCGGATACATTGGAAATCGTGGCCTCCAAGTCCACGGGCACCGGCAGCGAGGAGCCCTCAACGCCCGAGGATAACATCAATGTGGTGGTGCGTGTGCGACCCCTGAACGAGAAGGAGAAGCGCGACAGGCATGGAGCAACATTGCAGTTTCCTGGCAATGGACAAGTGATTGTAGGTGCCAAGCTGGATACGAATCATTAAGCTGATAACTTACATATACCCATTACTTGAACAGATCGAGGGAAATGATACGGGCGCCAAGCGCTCCCATAATCGCGACAGCGTGCGGGTATTCACGTACAATGTGGTCTTCGAGCCGGGCGCCACGCAGGAGGACATACTGGACTATTCGGGCATCAAGCGCATCATTGAGATGGGCATCGAGGGCTTTAGCTGTACGGCATTTTGCTATGGACAGACGGGTTCCGGCAAGACCCATACCCTGACCGGGCCACCGGATTTGGTAAGCCACTAACTAGTTAGTTAGTATAAACGAAGATATATTAATTTGATTATCTTGCAGTTTGTGGGCAAACCCAATCTAAAAGATCCGCGTCATGGCCTGATCTTCCGCTCGTTTTTGTATCTCTTCCAATTGATTAAGAATCGCAAGGATGTTAACTATGTGCTCAAGGCCTCGTTTATGGAGATTTACAATGAACGGGTGAGTTAATATATATAAAGATTTTAGATAATACTGAGCCTTTATTTGAAGAAAAACTTAAAACGCGAAAGTAGGAATATATTCGGTACGTTGAGGATTTAACACCCTTATAGATATTTTTGTTTTTATTTTGTTGAAATATCTTGAAAAACATTACAAGATGAGAATTCCACCGATCTTTCCTATAGCAGCTATCAGATATCCCAACCCAAGTTTGGGATTAATACCAACATTTCGGCCAATCTTTTCTATGGCAGCTATATGATATAGTAGTCCGAGATTGATAAGATTTTGCATACATATGGTGGGCTTAGTAAAACCTATAAATGCCAAGTCAAATTCTGTTGATAAACAAAAGAAAACCTCATGTACGACCGATCGTTCCTATTATATCATATGTATTGTGTTCCGATGTTAATAAGATTTTGCATATAAAAAGGGAATATAGTTAAACTTACAAATGCCGAATTTTGGTAAAACATCTTGATAAATAAAAAAGTTCTTCATACAAGAACCTACTGTTAGGCCGATCGTGCCGATGGCAGCTACTTGATATAGTGGTCCGATCCGGCTGGTTCTGACATATATACTGCCTGCAACAAAAAGACGGACCTATGCAGAGTTTCTAGACTAGACAGGCCGACGGACAGACAGAAATGGCTTATCGGCTCGGCTGTGGATGCTGATCTAGATTATATGTATATATACCCCATAGGTCGGAGATGTATCCTCCTCCTATTTATTTGGAGTCCTCGATATATGTGAAAGAGAAAGAGATTTTGATCGATTTAAATGATATCTGCTTTTTAGCTTAAGTTAAAATTTTACCTTGGGCTATTTAAAAAAATGTAATTGTAGGTTAGAACCGGCAAGGTTCAAACTCCTCTTTTATCATTACATTGAATACATGTGTTCAACTTTGTCGTGTGTTTAGTTAATTACTTTCGCTCGTTTGATGTTTACAACTTTCATAGAAATACCTCCATTTAATCCAAATACAAACATATCTAGTCCTTATATTATCTTCGATCTGCGTAATGCAGTTCAATTTAATTGAATATTCAATTTAAATTTGTATTGCAATAATACTGATTGGTTTTCCATTGCGACCTTTTGCAAATAGCATTTCACATGCGACAAGCTTACAATGCATTGCATTGACCTCTATTTAATGGAGGTCAATGCGTTCCCCACCCCCTCATTACACAATTGATGTGCATTTGGTAAATTGTCGCAAAGCGTGAAATTTGCTTGCATTTTAGATGATTTGTTAGTCTAGTCGAACCAGACAGACCCCGTGCTGGTGTACTTTGTATCCATTATTGGTTCTGTAAATTGAAATGCATTTTTTATAAGCAGGTAATCGATTTGCTCAATCCGGGAAGCGCCCGCAAGCCGCTTGCCGTACGCTGGTCCAAGAAATCCGGCGGTTTTTTTGTGGAGAATTTATTTACGGTCGACTGCGAGGAACTTGACGATTTGCTGGCTGTGCTAGAGGAGGGTGAGTCGGGTGGAAAACTGAGAAAACTTAGATTTGGGATAAGCAAGCACCAGGTGAACTTATGGCAACACGCTTCCGTTGCAGGCATGAGGAATCGCGCCGTTGGCTCGCATGCGATGAATGATCATTCATCGCGTTCGCATACGATATTAACGGTACACATACTATCGGATCAACAAACAGATGGCGGCGTATTTCTCTCCAAGCACGGCAAAATCAATTTTGTGGACTTGGCGGGCAGCGAACTGACCAAAAAGACCATGAGCGAGGGCAAGACCTTGGAGGAGGCGAACAACATCAACAAGAGCCTCATGGTGCTGGGCTATTGCATCTCATCGCTGAGCGATAATAAGAAGCGCACCGGGCACATACCCTACAGGGACAGTCAGTTGACCAAGCTGCTGGCCGACAGTCTGGCCGGGAACGGGGTCACGCTAATGATTGCCTGCGTCTCGCCGGCACATTATAATCATGCCGAGACACTGAACACGCTGCGCTATGCATCGCGGGCGAAGCGCATACGAACCAAGCCCGTCATCATGATGGATCCGCGTGAGGCGCTTATACTCAGCCTGAAGCGTGACATACATGCGCTCCAGATGGAGAATGAGCACCTGAAGGCGGCGCTGAATCTGCACCATCAGGCGACGACGGCGGCTGACGGACCTGGCGCTGGCAATCTCTTGGAGCTGCAGCTGGAGCGCGTTAATAGCGGCGATGGCGGGGCGCCAGTGCCCAAGGTGGATCTGGAGCGTTTGCCAGAACTGGATGGCAGCGAGCTGGCGGAGCTGGTTAAGCTGTACATGGCCGAAAATGAATCGCTGCGACAGGAGAACAATCATTTGTTCACGGTGCGCGAGACCATACTGAGGGATCAGGAGATTGTGTGCCGGGAAAACGAGCGTTTGCTCAAAAAATTGGAGGAAGTGAACAAGTGAGTAGGCCCCGTAAAAATAGAATCGATCGAAGGCACAACACTCGGGCTCATTGTTGTCTCCTTTCTGACTCGTTCTAGATCGAAACCGAGCGAGGACAATGAGCCGAGTGTCGAGCCGGTTGCCGGATCGAAATGAGGGCGCAGCCTCGGGTGCCCAATTCGCGTGCAAACAATACAAATTACAATTTTTTTCATAGACAAATCATGTTTTCAAAACGAATTTAGAGTGTGACTAGTGATCTAAGCGATTAAACGTAAACATTTGTTTCTGTTCCATAATTAGTGTCTGTGTGCGTTCCCCCCTGATACCTGCACGACCGGCCATCTCGCCAACGACGGGCAAAGAAACGCCCGGCACCGAGATCTGGACAAATCCGGAACCAGCTGTTCCAGCAGCAGTGCTCCCATTGGAGCAGCGCATGTCTGAGAATGCGGACAAGCGTACGCACACGGCCCAAAAGCGCATCGATCAGCAGCGCATTGCCAAGAATATTCTGCTCATGGCGAATGCCTTTCGGATGCCCAATGCAACAGAGGAACTGGAACTGCACAAGGAGCAGCAGTCAATCAATAACAATAATAACAACAATGAGCATGCGCAGCCTGATTTAATGCCAGAGTAAGTGACAATATATGAATAAAACTGAAACTTCTCTGACTTTAATATATTTCTATCTATATGCAGCATGCTAACGTAATAAATCTATTTATGTACCTACTACCAACATACAAATATGCTATATTCATATATATTTTTGGAACAATTAAAACAAATGTTAAAAAGCAATTTCAATAAAACTGTTAAAAATTCTAAATGTCTTCTACACATTTATATTATTTATTCCGTTAAATAAATGAAAGCTGTTACGAATTCAAAATGCGTGCCACTTTTTGTCAAGTTGGCAGCACTGCAACAGCTGCTGCACTTTTGTTATCGATAGTTTTATATTTGACAGGCAGCGATAAGTATTGTATCGCATCAAACACTATTGATTTTTCGTCGAATCAAGAGCTCGAGCCTGTGCCTAAAATCAGCTTTTAAAGGTAAATTAAAGTACATTCTCTTAAACATTATGTTGAACAGACCTTATTGCAGCTAAACGTTACTCGCTAGCATCAAATTCATTGTTGACGTTCACCATAGGTCTTGCCGAGACTGCCGTTCTGGATATTATGGCTGCTAATTTGCAACAGCAGCGCACCATCAATGAGCAACTGCGTCGGGAGGCGGGCATACCCCGCATTCAGGTCTCTGAGGCATGTAATGCCATGATGAAGTATATGATAGATCACGAATCGGATGATTGTCTGCTGAGCGGTTTTACCAGTCAAAAGGTGAATCCGTTTCGCGAGAAGAATTCTTGTAGCATTTTATAAGCTCAATTTTGAATAGGTACACAAGTTCCTAGCAGTATTCATAATATGTAGACATAAATATTGTTTACGTTTTCGCGGCGAACTCTAATAGACTAGAACAACAACAACAACAACAACAGCAAAATCTATAAATGCATGCATATGTGTATAATCTTTGATGTTTCTTGTAAATGTATGCTGACCTCAATTATGTCTATAAACTGAACACATATACATAAATATTGTAGAGAAATATTTATTAATGTGTGCACCAAAAACAAAAAAAAAAAAAAGCCAAAACAAAAAAAAAATCAACTCGAACCGTCTTTAACATACATATGTATACATACCATGTATTTTGCTAATCCTATAGCTCTTTTTTGGAGAACGGCATATTCGCATAATATAATATACATATATACTAGCAATTTTCAATAAATGTATGACCCCAACTAAACATGTTTCCTATTGAGATATTAATAAATAATACAAATTAATAAATGTACACATAAGCGTTTATCTGTCTGTGAGGTCATTCAAGAAATCATATTTCTGCCACATTATGGCCATCGAATATTTGGGCGCTGTTCGCGCCAAAAAAATATATATGTATGTGGGTGCTGACAGCGTTCCTCCAGTATACTTACCTACCTCTTTGTGTTCTATAAAACCCAGTTGGTTAAGCTTTTAATTTAAGTACCTTCTAGAGGATTTGAATTAAGATCTTTTAGCTCCGTTAAGCCTTTATATCAACGCGAACAAGCTCGAGCAATATGCACTCAAAAATGTTACACTCAATAGTGCTGCTAATTTAGCTATTTTTAAGCTAAATATGACTATTCTCAGCGGGAAACATTTGAGTTTTGAAACTGCTGTAAATATTTGTTATCGTTTAAATAAGATGTGGAGAAAAACTTGCACAATACCGATTTGTGCACAAGAATTGATTTAGCTATTTTTAACAATAGAAACAGCAACTTTTTTGAAACGGCAATTGCCAACACTGCTCAAAGCGGTTAGGCGCCATCGGGTCGTTTACGAGCACTGTGACAGCCGACTAGCGACACTGTGAAAAAAAAAGCATAATTGTCAAACACAAGCAAAAGCTTGTAGCCCACAAGAGACTAAGGGGATCTACCTTCAGTTGGGAAAAGTGCGGTATCAATTCCACACAAACATTGTAGAAAATAAATAAATAAAGATTTGGTGGCCAAAATCATGTTAGTTGTGGGCGTGGCACGTCAGGAGCAGCGTCTCAATGAACCATGGTTTCAATTTAGAATCATGGTTTAATCCAAGAAGCTCTGACGTTTCTATTCCCACCAATACCTGGAAGGAGTTTACAAAACAGTTCGAATCACATATGTATATATACAAACATATGCACTTCAAAAGTAGTAAATTTATAGTTGTGACGAATATTTATTACACAAATTCAATAAAATGAGCGATACCACTAAGAATTTGCAAGTCAATCCGTATTTCTTATTTCTCGCCCAGTTTCGTGAAAATCTCAAAGCACGGGGCGTGACGAACATTAAAGCCACAACAGTGGCTCGAATGGCTGGTAAAAAGTGGCGACAAATGAGCGACGCTCAGAAAGCCATATACAGTGGAATAGCGCAAATCAATCGTGAAGCACGTTTGCGCGGCTACAGCGTTTGAACAAAACTTACAGCAAATAAATGTTACACAGAGACAATTCAAAATTATATTGTTGGCGCGTAGATTTCGGCACTGTTATCGTTTTTTTTAGTAATCGATGACAATTAAGCACGTTAATCAACACTGGCCAAAGGCGACAACACATTTTCCATATAGTAATCCATTGGCAAGAAATTAAAATGAGTTCCGGATTTGTTACTGAATCCGAGGCAGCAGAAGCACGCCAACGCCGCCAGGAGGAGTGGGAACGCGTACGGCAGCCCGAGGATCCCATGGAGAGACCCGAGGAACCATACGACGGACGTTCGCTATACGACCGCTTAAAAGAGCAGAAAACAAAAAAGGATATGGAATTTGAAGAAGCACACAAGCTGAGTACGTTCGGGTGCTTAATCATGGAATTCAACAGTAACTAACTATTCCTTAATACACAGAGAACCTAATACGTGGCCTAGACGATGATGAGGTGCAGTTCCTCGAGCTTGTTGATGCTCACAAAATGAACACCGAGCGTCAACAGATGCGTGACGAGAAGCTGGAGCTGGAGGATTTTCGCAATCGAGTTGAAAAACTGCAAGAGGAGAGCGTAGATAAGGTAATGTGACTTGACTTCCCATTGCCACCAAAAGTCAATGATTATTTCTTAATAAATCAGAAACTACAAGCGGAGCTAAAGACAACAGCCAAATCTGTGGGTGCATCGGCCACGGCGCGCAATACACAAAAGTCACTGCTGGGACAGGGCATTAAGCGCAAAAATGGCGAGTTGCCCACAACCAGCAAGGTGTCCAAAACGGAGCAGGAAACGCCCGCAGAGAAATCAGCAGCACAGGCAACAATTAGTATCAACACAACCAAACACGATGTTGGCGCTCTCAAGTGTATCGCCATACTCCCAGGCATTGGTTCCTACACCGAGTCGAGCGATTCTGAGGCGAGCACCGATACCGATGATCACGATCACGATAAGAACAGTCTGGTGGATTTGTGTGGTCGCAAGATACTCAAAAAGAAACAGTGCGCCGAGTAAATTGGTTTCTTTTGTATTTTGGGGGCAACAGTTTTATTTGATTCTTAATTATAATGTTTAACGTTTGCTGCAGCGAATTATACAACGTAGAGTTTAACAATGCTACGTATCCTTTTTCTTGTTGCGATTGCGATTCTTCACGTTCGTTGTCTCATAGAAATTGCTGCCAATTTTTTTGCGCTTCTGGCTGCGTTCCAGAGCGCGCTTCTGTTTGGCATTGAGCCGTGGTGCCTTGGCACTACTGCTGGGTCCGTCGTCGTCATCGCTATCGTCCAACTCATCGGAATCGCCTGGCTGCACCTTGGCTATGCGGAATTTACCCGACGATGTGATGGCCAGCTGTTGTGCCTTCTTGGTCTTGGCTTTTTTGTGCACCACACGCTGCAGATCTTCATTATATTCGTCCTCAGAGTAGAAATCGCTGGCACCATCACTGGAATCTTCCTCTTGCTCCGGATTGACCAGTCGCGCCTTTTTGCGTGCGGCACGCTCTGCTTTCTGTTGCTCCAGCAGCTCCAGATCAATGTGATCCAGTTCGCGCTCATCCTGCTGCTCATAGTCCAAACCCACGCGAATTTTACGGAAATCCTGAATTTGCTTGAATTCGCGTGCCCGCTTTACAGATTCGCTTACAAACGTGGGCGCTTCCGATTTGGCATCCGCATCCTCAGCAGCAGCCTCCTCTTCCGCTGCAATTGTTTCCTCCACTGCTGGTTTGCCCTCCTGTGATTTGGGCGTAGCAAAACCCTCGGGTGGCACATAGAAAGGCAGCTTGCCGCGCTGCCAATCGTTGAGCACCATGCGCGCTGTTACCGTTATGTCCGGTTCACCACCTTTCAACAATTTACCCGATTTTTTGGCTAACTGCTCCAGGAAGTGCGTGGATGTCGTCCAGTTTTCTATTTTGTAGTTCTTTGCAATGTACTCCTTGCGCACGCGTTGCAACACTGTTTCTACATAATCTTCCGGATTGGTGACCAGCTCCACCCGCACCACGCCTTTCAGCACCTTCTCTGTGTCCGTTTCGGCAGAGGGATAAACCACGCCGGGACAATCGATGAGGAATATGCGTTTCATTAGCGTTATGTACTGCCAGACTTTGGTTTCGCCCGCAATGGGTGCTACATTGCAAACCTTTTTGGAGCGCAGTGCATTAATCACCGAAGATTTGCCCACATTTGGATAGCCAATGAAACCCACGCTAATTTGCTTCTTATCCATGTGCAGTTTGCCCAACTGTCGGAACAGATTGATCAGTGCGCCTGTCAAATAATTGGAATATGTTATTGCATACAAAATACAAATACAATTTCTATTAACTTACCTTTGCCAAAGGGATGCTGGAGCGAGGCATGAAATGCTATTGTGGGATACTCGGCACTAAGGATTGCCACCCAACGCTGTGTTACCCACACAGGCACCAGATCCACTTTGTTCAATATGAAGAACAAATGCTTGTGCGGCTTCTCTTTGCGCAAAAACTCCTCGATGTATTTGGAACGTGTGCCCATTGGATCGCGGGCATCGAGCACCTGCAGCAACACATCGGACGCATCCACAACTTTGTGAAGCTCGTTCCAAATGCGTTTACTCTGGCCGGCACCAAATACCCAATCACGAACAGCCTTCTTTTCGCCCGTGTCCTCCCGTATGAGATCCACATCTTTTGTAGAATCATATTGATCGGCTTGCTCATCCGCTGCACGGCTCAAATCCTCTAGATCGCGAACCTTAAGGCTGACACGTTTCCGTTGCTTCTTCGGCCCAAATACGCTGTCGAAGCTCTCCGTGTCCAACAGATGAACGCGCTGATACTTGGAGGCCTCGTTCAGCAGCGTTACCGGCAATTGAGAGGGTTTCATTATGACCTGATAAGGATCCTTAACAGCCTTGCCAATCTCATCCTGGAACTTTTGCAACGCTGTCTGTGAAATGACACGCGAGTTGCTGAACCATTTCGGAGTTGGCTCCACTCTGGCCATCGTTCCAGCGGGCAGGCGACCCTAAAACAACAACAGTTAATTACCTTAGACATCCTCAAAGGCGCAAGCTTCCGGGCTTACCTGAAATGGCGCTGGGGTAAGAATTTTGCCAGTACGATCGCGCTTTGCCTTAAAGTTGCGATACATCTGCAGGCGCTTGATGGTGCCCTTGGTGCGCGGGTGTGCGACACCTTTGAGCCCACTTGTTGGTCGCTCCGGATTCATGGAGTGGTTGGAATGGTTAAATCCCTGCGTCCGGGGCGTGCCCGTTGTGCTCCGTACTTTCGGCATCTTTGTTTTGTTTGATTAACGTGCGGTTTAATAGAACTTAAGCGCTGTTCTCACAGCACGCACGTATCAAAACAAACACGTTCCGTTCGGAAAAGAGAGGTTAGGTTGAAGGATTGTTTTTATTTCATTGAGATATCGATATCTGCAACATGTTACTTATCGATATAATTTACTATGTATATATTTCCATTATAGGACTTTAATGAAATATGCCAATGATATAAAAACGGTTCCGCCTCTAAAACAATTATTATGTAAAGCTAAAATCAAACAATTTTAAATGAATTACTGTAGTGCATGAATATGTCATATTATTATTTATTTGCTGCAATAGGGCTGGCAGTTCCACGAAACGACAGTCAACTAAATAGGTTTGGTCACTCTGTTTCTTATACGCCACTGTACATTGCAATAGACACAACAAACTATATGTCAGTTTAAAAATGTTTTATAAAAATAAATGGTTAAGGCATATGTATGTGCTGCAAGTAGCTGTTATATATATTACTTATTTGCATGTAAATCTTTTCAGAATATCAATTAAAAATGAAATGAATAAGTGCACATTTGCATGTGTTTCTATGTTAATGGCCAGCTATGTTGCTCAGAAGTAAGCTGGTTTGTATCCGTGTGGCTCTGTGCATATCTGTAGTTGTACATTTCAATAATGGCCACGAGCTGCACGCTGGCTGCACTTTGTAAAGTAGAATTTAAAAAACCTGCACTTTTTTTCTAGTTCCAATCAAAACAGTGAAAATGTAGCTTAAAAAATTATTCAAAAATAAAGTGTAGTAATTAGTTGCAAAAAGCCAAACAATTCTTTTGTACATACACATGTATGTATTTCACAAGCTCGCTTGTTTGCTGTGTACGTGTGCGCGGTGCATGTGTGTGCGTGTGCTTTTTGGAATGTTGCTTTTCACGAAATTCAAATTGTGACCATCCTTGAGATTTTGTGATATAGACGAAGACCGATAGAGAGAGAGAGGGGAGAAGACTATTGAGTATGCAAAATAAAGCGAGTTAAACTAAATCAAATGGACGAGCACACATTGAATGACCTGTTGGAGTGTTCGGTGTGTCTAGAACGCTTAGACACCACCTCCAAAGTATTGCCATGCCAGCACACCTTTTGTCGCAAGTGCTTGCTGGTAAGTGTTCTATTATTATCGTTGCCTTTGTATATTAAATGCTTTTTTGTTTGCCCTACAGGATATCGTGGCCAGCCAGCACAAGCTGCGCTGTCCGGAATGTCGTGTTTTGGTGAATTGTCGCATCGACGAGCTGCCGCCAAATGTTTTGCTGATGAGAATTTTAGAAGGTAAGTGTGTTGTGTGGGCGTCGTCAGCCCATGCTTACAAATTGAAACAATTGTGGGCAGCCACGTAGCTAATACTTTACTTATTACTCAATAGGCATGAAACAAAACGCTGGCAAAAGCGACACTAAAAGCGAAGAGTTGCCACTGCCAAATGCTAATAAAACACAACTGCAGCCGGAGTTGCCACCCACGCAAATAACCCAACAGCAGCAGCAGCAACAACAACAGCAAATATCACAGCAGCAACAACAAGCCCAACAGGAAGCACTGCAAACGGCGCGCCAAAAGCAGCGACGCTATCTATTGCCACACGCCTATGCGTTATTCGATTTCGCCAGTAACGAAGCCAGCGATTTAAAGTTTAAGAAGGGCGATTTAATATTGCTAAAGCAGCGTATCGACAACAACTGGTTTGTGGGCCAGGCCAATGGCCAGGAGGGCACATTTCCTATTAACTACGTCAAAGTAGCCGTCGCTCTGCCCATGCCACAATGCATTGCCATGTATGACTTTAAGATGGGCCCGAGCGATGAGGAGGGCTGCTTGGAGTTTAAAAAGAGCACAGTTATCCATGTTCTTCGCCGTGTCGATCATAATTGGGCCGAGGGACGCATTGGACAAACAATTGGCATATTTCCCATTGCGTTCGTGGAGCTGAATGCTGCTGCTAAAAAGCTGCTGGATAGCGTTGGTTCTACCAATCCACTGCCACAGGGGCCACCGGCGCAACTGATGCAACAGCGCGCCCTGCCGCCGGTGCCGCTTATCGATCCCACCCACAACTCGAATGACTCCAGCACAGGCTCCTCTAACAGCAATTCCTCGAATAACAACAGCAGCAGCAGCAACTCGAGCTCGACATGCAGCTCCAACAATTCCAGTCCTAATCACCAGTCGCTGCCCAGTACGCCACAACATGTCGCAGCCGCTGCTGCTGCTGCTGCTGCTGCAGTAGCTACCGGCGGCGGTTCGGTGCGTTATCGTGACAAAGGCGCCAAGGAGAAACGCCACTCGCTAAATGCTTTGCTACAGGCGGCGCCGCTAAGTTTGCTGCAAACGAATCGCCACTCCGCTGAGATATTGAGTCTGCCGCACGAGCTGAGTCGCCTGGAGCTTAGTTCGCAGCAGGCCAATGCAGCCAGCACAACAGCCATAACGCAGCCGTCGCAGACATCGCGGGTGCTGAAGACCCACGTGCATCAACAACAATTGCCGCCAACGCTGCCCTGGGGCTATCTGGCGCTATTCCCCTACAAGCCGCGTCAACCCGACGAACTGGAGTTGAAGAAAGGCTGCGTTTATATTGTCACCGAACGCTGTGTGGATGGCTGGTACAAGGGCAAAAACTGGTTGGATATAACGGGCGTTTTTCCGGGCAACTATCTGACGCCTTTGCGCACACGCGATCAGCAGCAGCTGATGCATCAGTGGAAATATGTGACGCCCTCCACAGATGTAAATGCGACGCCGCCGGCGCAGTCGTTGGACGTGCGTCTGAGTAATATGCTGCCCACACAGCCACCAGACTTACCGCCACGGCAACAACAACAACAACAGCAACCCACGCAGTCAACCACCAGCTGTTCCGTGTGGACCAAGCCCGTGGAGGCGCTTTTCAGTCGCAAGTCCAGCGGCAGCACGGATAGCAAACCGGACAATGCTGGCAGCAGCTCCGGCGCTGTGGGGCTTATGCGACGTTTGACGCACATGAAAACACGCTCCAAATCACCCGGTGCACCACTGCAGCAGCAACAGCCACAGGCGCCCAAAGACCCTACGAGCACAACAACGGAAGCCAGCGTTAAGGCGGCGCCATTGCATCCAGTGCATGTCCGGTTTGTGTACACAGGTATTATTTCGCTAGGCACTCCCAGCTAATGCGTCTTTTTCACAGATCCGGTTCATGTCCAAGTCAGCTGCAGCAAAGTCAACCGCTGAAGGAAACAGTCGCAGCTTCAACACCTTCCACTGGTAGTTCCCAATTTCAGCCGAACAGCAGCATTTCCTATGGGTCGCAGCGCATCAAAAGCAACAAAGAACGACCACATTTGCTATGGTTTGTATAGAAGTAAGATTCACGTAATTATATTTAATTTCGTTGTTGCCACTGCAGCGCTAGACAATCCCTGGATGCGGCCACATTTCGCAGCATGTACAATGCTGTCTCGCCCCCGCCGCCCGCATCAAGCCATACGCAAGCCAATGCGCAAACGCAGCTGCATGCCAACATGATTATAGCGCCCAATCATCGCAAGACTCAGAGCCTGGACGCGGGTCATGTGCTCAGTGGCAGCAATAGCAACCTGAACACTAATAACAGCATTATAACCGAAGCGGCCATTAAGGCCAGTGCCACCACAAAGTCGGTATACTGCACGCGAGAGAGGTAACTTAACTTAGCTTAATTTGTATTATTGTCTTATGTTTCTATCAAATTTATTTGCCTTGCAGTCGCTTTCGTTGCATTGTGCCCTATCCGCCGAATAGTGAAATCGAGCTGGAATTGCGACCAGGCGACATTATCTATGTGCAGCGCAAGCAGAAGAATGGATGGTATAAGGGCACACATGCGCGCACTCATAAAACTGGTTTATTTCCAGCTTCCTTTGTGGAACCGGATATTTAGCTCAGTGCACATTCCTTGAAGCATTTGTGTTGAAATTTCAAATTCCATACACAAACACACACACACACACACACACACACATTTGTCAAAATCCATTTTTGTGAATCGCCGGTCGATTTGTGCTTCCTTCCACAAATGTTTATAACAATCTCTTCCTCTTTACGAAAAAGAACTATTCGAATACAAATGCTCGATTATGTAGTTTTTATACGATTTTTAATCAAATTAGGCTAGCCAATATATTAAGCAAAAAGTAACATTGTACTTAAGACAAAAAACAAAATGTTTAATTAGATAGTGAAATCGAAATACGAAAATTCGAATCAACGAACCAACCTTTATTTCAAACGCAGATTCCTTTATAAAATCTACATTGAAATTCGTAACTAACCACTGTTATGCATAGTACTTGTACTTACACGTAAACATATACGCAAATTATTAATAAAACATATTGTGCAGCAACATGGCAAATTATAACAAATTTCCAGCATTGGATTCAACTTATTTTATTCACCATCATTTAAACATATTTTGTTAATCTAGTTTAAACATCAGATTATTCGCTCTTGTCGAACTTGGAACCATAGATGGGCATGTACTGAAGCACCAATTTCCAGTCGGTGTAGTAGAGCAGGGCCAGGCCAGCGGCACCTCCGAATCCTGCGCCGGAGCTGACGCTGAAACGCAAAGAATGAATAAATATTAAATTTGTGTGAATTGTTACCTTTGGATTATGCAACGTGTTTTGCAAGTGCTATACTCTTGCCAGACATGTAGCAGCACCATAAACATGATTTATTTTATTTCTACTTACAAGGCTGACGCGATTTCAGCGTGCTTCTTGCCAAAGGGTATGCGGAAAGCCATTTTATTCGGGTTTAAATAAGTTTTCCTTGCAAATAAATATTCACTAACTGGTCGCAGTATGCCCGTATTGCAATACGCCAAAAAATACCAAATCTGAAAGGGTCGGCCATGCCAGCTGTCATTGACATAATTTAGCCCTGGCCACTTAAAATATTTTACAGATTAAATTAAATATTGGTTTTTTGTCTAAATTAAAACAAACAGTTGTCATTTTAGCTTATAAAATAGAAATATCTGCTCTATTGCTTTTAAGTGATTCTTTTATGAAAGCTTCTCAAGAGCTTCATCGTTGACAACGCTGGCAACCCTTGCAGAAGGCGTACGTGATAACAACAATTTGTCATCGTTTGCATTTGGGTTAAAATTCTTATTGCATTTAAATTAAATAAATAAAAATGAATGTGGCTATCTTCGGCGAGCTGAACGCATTTGAGCTGCTTGTTCTCAGCAGTTTAATGCCAGCCGTTTTCATATATTTGTGGACGTTGATTACCGGCGATATTAAGGTAAGGCAGCAAACAATATATCATAGAAATTGGACCCAATTTATTAATATTTTTGGTTTTCAGAATTTTGAAAACAGCAAGATAGCTTATTCAGTGTACACGGCAAAGGATCCAATCAATTGCTACCAAAACTACACAGAAAAGAAGAAGGATTCATAAGCGCTTTTAAATTTACCTTAGAAGATAAGAAAGCCTGCTAAAAAATAATCTATTAAAGAATCATTAATGTAACAAGATAACGTGCATTCACTTATAGATGTGCAGTTGATATATGTTTAAGCAAACAGTTTTATATTTTGCTTAAAATGAACTAATGAACTATTATGAGAACTAACAAGTTCGGTTCAAGTGCAGTTCGCGTTGTTCATGATTCATGTTCAAGTGTGCATATGTGTGTGTGTGTGTGTGGTATGTACTGCAGGTGAACAACAACACTTTCTAGTTAAAAACAATACGAAAAGTTTTATAATTATCAAGTTTCGACTTTCCCGACATTTTAAAGCATTATTGCATAGGCAATTCGCGCACGTATTGGCTAAAAAAGAGGCTTAGCCAACGCAACAATAGCAACAAATAACAAAGGAACAACACAACGACGCAAAAACAAATAACATGTCTGAAACATACGGTTTGTCACACTTTTAGCTCGTAACTGAAATTAATTGTTAATTGCATTTGTATGTTGTTTGCTCAACTTTCAGATTACCTGTTCAAATTTCTAATAATAGGTAGTGCGGGCAGCGGCAAAAGCTGTCTCTTGCATCATTTCATCGAAAGCAAATGTAAGTTTAACAAACACTTTGCCAGAAACTGGAAATATGAAAAGCGAATCCTCGATTCCAAAAACTACTGTAACTGTGCAAAATGCTGACACAGTACATTAGTGTACACATATATGTATGTTGCTTGTTTCCATGTGGTGATAACACTATACATAGTATATATCGGCCCGTATTTCTTTATATAGATTTATCTTACGACTTTTTACATTTTTCTGCAGTCAAAGACGACAGCTCGCATACGATTGGCGTCGAGTTCGGCTCGAGAATTGTGAATGTTGGCGGCAAATCGGTGAAGCTACAAATATGGGACACAGCTGGCCAGGAGCGTTTCCGTTCGGTGACACGCTCCTATTATCGCGGTGCGGCTGGTGCTCTTCTGGTATATGATACCACAACGCGGGATTCGTTTAATGCTTTGACAAATTGGCTAAATGATGCACGCACGCTGGTCAGCCCAAATATTGTTATATTGCTGGTGGGCAACAAAAAGGATTTGGAGGAGGCGCGCGACGTTACATTCTTGGAGGCTAGCACCTTTGCCCAGGAAAATGGTGCGTGTATCCTAAAGAGAACTCACAAGAAGACGCAATTTAACCAATCATTACGTTACTTTAGAGCTTATATTCTTGGAGACGAGCGCCAAAACGGGCGAGAACGTCGAGGAAGCCTTCCTCAAGTGCTCGAAGACCATACTGGCCAAGATAGAGACAGGCGAGCTGGATCCAGAGCGCATTGGCAGTGGCATACAGTACGGTGGGACAGCGCTGCGAAATCTACAGACGCGACAGCGCAGCATCAATAAGCCGGATTGCACCTGTCGAGTGTAGATGTTTTGGGAGTATTTCAACCAGGTCGTTTAGCATGCACGCGAACAATATCTGTGTATTAGTTTAGGCGAGCAAAAATAATCTCATTTAATCTCTAACTAATTGATACGAAACCGCATTAGCCTTAGTTATATGTACGCCTGTTTGTGTGCGTTTGTGTGTGTGTCTTTCAACGGCATTTGTGCGGTCAAATATTGTTTTGGCCCACTGTGCAACGTTTCGCCCCAATTTTGTTAAAATTGTTTAACCGAATCTGCTGTGCAATTTGTGGCATTCCAAGTTAGTTCGCTTAATTTGTTTTTGATTTAATGACTCTACTTCAATTGCTGAATTAATTGTACAAGTTTTTCCTTCAAAACGTTACTTATATATTGTAAATTGTAAGCTTTTCAATTATTGTAAACCAGTGGCGGGCCCAATAGCAACGATTAACAACTGGAACCGACCAGTTGGTGGCTGGCACAGCGCCTGAATCACCATCGGACGGATTGATAATTAACATAAATGCGCCCAGCATTTTGTAAATAAGCGGCGTCAAGTTTGTTTGACAAAGCAAATTGTAAAGAATTTTAAAATGAATAATAATGCACGCGGTAAATAAAAGCGCAAACTAAATAATAAAAATGCAATTAAGATCTCTCGAGCGTTAAACTTGTGCACTTATTTAGTGCTGATTGGTATTACCCGGCTAGGTCCGGGCCAAGATTTGTGTAGACTCCACTTTTCCATATCTTTTTTATAGTTAACAGAATGGCGAACAAAAATAGCTAATATAACTATGTCCTGGCAGTTTACACAGCACTATCCATCAAATAGCACTAACAATTCTCTTCAATCTCTGTTGGGGACAGTTTTATGCACTTAGTAATTTATTAATGTATTTCTTTGGAAATTCATTTGTTGCATGAAAGTTCTCAAATGTCATTCACGGATTAGGCATATTTTTTATTTGATTTTAACTAAAACCAATCAATTGAAAGCTGAGCTGAACCATATTCATGTACATAAATAATGGTAAATTTTGTATAAAAAATTTATTGCATAGCTAAAATGATTACATAAAATGTACTTTTAACAAATGTTACGATGTTTAAAATAATAGATATAATGGACATGATCACATTAGAAATTCCTTAGGGAAAACACATGCTGACAAACTGAAAATAATAGAAAAAAAGATTACAAAAACACTTAAATATAATTGGACTCATGCCTCGCATTTGGCCAACTTTTGGAGTGCATGCTTGGCAGCTGAGAGCTTGGCCTGCTTGCCATTGTTGCCAAATCCATAGACCTTGATGGTCTTATCCATGCATATGAACTGGCAGGTGACCATTACTTGGTTATTGTCCATGATGGGCGGGCTAAAGGTAGGCTTTGCCAGCTTGTGCTCAAACAGCTGACGGATGGGATTTAATGGCACATTGCGGGAGAATTCGAGCAGTTCGGGCTCAAAAAGTCTATAGACCACTTGCCAAGTGGTAGTTAAATCGCGGCAGTCCAAATAAACGGCGGCTATCAGTGCCTCCAGGACATCACCCAATGCCTTGGGCACGTCCACATTGTGCGATATGTTAAATTCGCCCACGTGCGGCGCATCAGCCCCATTAATAGCGAGCTTTTGCTGTTGTGCTGCTTCCGCCAGCTCCAATTCGTCATCGGAGTCGAGTGGTTCTGGCTGGACATCGCTCTCCTCCATTAGAATGCGCACATGATTGGTAACGCGATGATTCTGCGACTCCTGGAACTGCACAAAGCTCTGAATGGACTCCGTGAGCAGTGCGTTCTCGGCCAGGATGAAAAAGTGAAAACGATGACGCACACAAATACAAGCGAGCGTCGTATTGTTGACTAGCGCCGAACGCAGATCCGTCAGTTGACCCGGCGTCATGCGCGTCTTGTGCTCGAATATATATGCTGAGATAAGGAAGTCCAAGATGGCATCGCCAATAAATTCTAGCTCCTGGTAGCAGCCCGTCAAACGATTCGTCGGATTTGAGGGATGTGTCAGCGCCTGCAGCAGATAGGCGCGATCACGGAATGTATAGCCCAGATTTTGTTCCAAATGCTGATGGTTAATCAAAAATCCATCCACTTCACGCTGCGATATATTTGTTCGCATGCGTGCGCTACCCAGCTGCAGGTCCAGCAACTGGGTCAGCGGCTTGCCAATGTCCGACTTGCAGATGCCAAAATATTCAAGCATGCGGAAGCCATGCTGCAGTCCATAGTTCTTGACGACCACGCCCAATAACGCCTCCAGCGTATCGGCAATCAGTTTGTCCGGCATCTGGACCAATCCCACACAGAAATTGATCTCGCTACTGAAGTCCATGCCCGCATGATGTGTATACTGATTCGCCTGACAGCCATCCACAAAACTCCGATAGACATGTTCTCCGCATTTGCCATTACCGAACACCTCCTCCTCGCTTATGCATAAATTGCGTATATTATGCGGTCCCACTAGCGCAGCCAACTCCGGTTTCTCCTTCCACAGCGCCAGCACATTCTGGGGCAGACCCAGGCTGGGCGGTAGCCATGTGTACTTTGGTGTGAACAGAGTGCTGCAGATTCGAGTGGGTATATCCGTTTCGCTGAGGCAGTACAATAGATTACGATTGGAGACCAGCGTGGACTTCACCTGATGCAGGCATAAAATTCAATATTGGAGAAGGAGAGGAGTCATTAATATATACCAAAAAATGTCATAATATGTCTATAAAATCTTAGGCATTGTGCACATCAAATCAAATCTTTTAATCGCGCTTATCACGCTCCAATCGAAAACTTATGTATTTTTATATATACGTAAGATTCAGTTGTCAAGTCAAGTCTTGATTGGAATTAAGGCTGCAAGCCGGTCTTGACACAAGCGTGCTCCAACCGGAAATTTCAATTTATTTATTTATTTATTTTTACTTGGAAACGAACTGTACTAACCTGTGTTAAAATGCCCTCATTCCAGTCCGGATACTTGTTGGCCAAATAAAGCGTGGCGCTGAGCTTGAGAAAGCAATCGCCGAGCAGCTCGAAACGCTCCATGTCAAAGACATCAACGCTGCCCGCATATGTGATGGCGGCCAGGAATTCGCCCTGCTCTGCCGGTGTTATGTGCTCATTGGAGATGCTGCGCTGCAGGACCGACAGCTGCACCTGTTCAACCCGCCTGCCATTGTCGCCGCTGGCGGGCAGCAGGGCGGGCAGCTTATGGTCGCTCTTCTGACAGCTGTATATGTTGCCCTCGCGCATTTTGAACTGGGTCTGGGTCCAGAGCTCTTTATCCTCATGCTCCAGTTTGTCCAGATTGAGCAATTGACCGCTGGTAAAGTTATAGAAATAGGAGAGCTCGACGGGATACGTGGACATGATGTTGCGCGCAATGTCCAACGGTTCCATATACTTTTGCCACGGCACCTCCAGATCTGTTATTTCCAGTTTCTCCATGGCCATCTCGATGCCTTTGGTGGGCAGCGGCTCTAGAACCGGACGTGGCTCCTCGTACTCATCAGCGTGCACGGGATTGCCCTGATGATCTACATTGCGGCGCAGCGAACAATCAATTTCCAATGGTCGTGGTCTATAGTTGACGCCATTCTGCGGCAATATGTCCAGTCCGAGATACTT